TTGTAAGCGAATAAAATAATGAGATTTAAAATTAAATAAACTTTAAAGAAGAAAATAAATAATTGATATTCAATGTAAATAAAAGTTTGAAAATTAATCGTGAATTTGTAGCTTTCTCATCCTCACAGATTTAAAAAAAGATAGCTTACCTGTTTAATCTGTGCCTCGATGTACATTTTTAAAATGTAAAATCCTTTACTATTTTTTTTTATTCTATCAAGACCTTTTCTAATTAGAAATATCATATTGGAAATATATTGGAAACTTTCACGAAGAACATTAGCAGGATTGATTATTCTAACTGGAAAGAAAGGTAACTAGAAAATTTAAGTAATAATAATTTTAATCACCCTACCGATTGCAAAATCCAATACCGTATTTCCATAACAGTCTGACAATCCCAAAGAACAATCGATTTATTAAATCAGCACAATTCCTTAGTTTCATGTTTCATTCTGTTCCCAATTGACCTTAAATAAACCTAATCGAGGGCAATACTAAATTCAACTGCCATTCCGCTTTATTGTTAACTCTGATTTATAAAAGCAAGTTTCCTTTCGTTTTGTGGTTTTTTCTCGTTCTGCTGAAATAACAAATAGTACCGCTTTCATTTATAAAGTCGAAATTATTCCATATTTATTGCAAATAAGGCGTGTAATATTTCAAAACACTTTTACGGCATAATCTGACATCGGTTTCGAAGAAAACAACGAATATGATGGAAGCCATATCACCCTGATCCCCACCGTTGCTGCAAAACAGGATCGGATGCGGAACCTCGTCTTTTATTGTTTAATAATAAATTCTTCCTAGGGAAATATATCGTCGGGCTGAAAGAAATATGGGTTTATGTAGAAATATATCAATAGAAGGTGGAGGCATATATTAACTTTGCCGCAGATGGATTACCCAATAAAAGCAACTCTCTTAGACAAAGCTAATTTCTTTGAGTGGTCCCTACAACGATACCGCCCGCCCAGGCTAACATTTTTAATTTTCAGCCAACACTTCGCTCCCCACGTGAAGAAGTGATATCTTTAGTTTGTATATTTCATATAAAATTTACTGCAAAGGAAAACTCCTTGAAACGAAGAAATCAATTTCCTAAGTTTAGTTATTTGCAGTTGTACGTTGGTGTTCTCTAACATTTATTCTGGTACGGCTGTTTTTCACTGTTTGCCATAGACAGAAGAACATCATTTGTATGTTCATCATGAACATCAGTATATTCAATTGTAGTTTAGTAGTCTTTGACAATTGACCAGAGAAGATAAGGAATACCAGGATGATCGGAAACGATGATGCTGGACATCCCCGTTTTATTATTTCAATTTCTCAAAGCGTAATAATTCTTAATGGGCACCATAGTCAATTTCAGAGAGGAGTTATTAAGTTATCAACTTTTGCAGTCCTCCCTTGTGTATGAGCTGTCATAAAAAAATAAGATTTCCTTGAATAGTACTGACTTCTCACCTACGGGAGTTCAGTAGGTCGTTGGGTGTAAACCTGTCCTATTATTCATTCCTAATTATTTGTAAAACAAACAACTTTAATATTGGAGTAGGGGAAAGGGTTGGGATAGAATAGGTGGTTAAAAAGCCTGTCCGACCTAAAAGTAACTCTTACTCTTTCAGACTAGATAGACCCTCACCTAAGGACACAATGTGTTCCGCAGTATCTATTTTTTTGTCTGTCAGGATTTCCTGTTTTTGCCAAAATTTCTAAAATATTTCTTCTTCTAGAACTTTTATCCGGTACGGTTAAGCAGTAGGAACCAGTCATGTGACTTATCAAAATTCCGAGTTCCTGGGTGCCCATCCGGATTTGGCTTTATTAAAGATGCTTTGTGTTTAGGACCTGAGCTTCAGGCGTTCTATTGCATCAGAAGCATCAACAGCTTGCCCTCTTTCCTTACCTAGTAGCCAAAATTATCGCCTGGATAGACTCCCACAGTATTACATAATGAATCCTGCGGTCTCGACTCTCTTTGGCAAAATGACACCAATGTTTCTTCTGTCAGTCCTATTCGCTACGTATGTCTTCTTAAGTGATAATGTCCGGTCAGGTGATTTGTCAGACTACGAGTTTTATTTCGGTTTTCACTTCTCTTCGCGCCCATCCCTGGAATGTGGATCCATACTGTTGGGACGTATTAAGGATCTATTTTTTCATGTTCTGAGCTTCAGACTGTTAACCAGGTTCCATAGAAGCCTCCTAAGCACCTACTGCTTGCTGTACACACCTAGTAACCTAGTGGCCTAAAACACCGTCTGGATAGACCATTACAGTAGCTCATAATGAATACCACGGTCTATCCTCGTTTAGTCAAATCCGATTAAAATTTCTTCTGCCAGTCTTATCCAGTACCTATGCCATCTTGGGCGACAGTTTCCAGTCAGGAGACATATATATTTCGGTTTCCCTTCTCTTCGCGTTTCTTATCCTGAGGTGTTGTTCCACCAGGTTGGATTCATTGAGGACCCATATTTCATGTCCTGAGAGGCCGAGAACTCAGGTTAGGGTCTGGGCATTCTTTAATGACGATTCACGGTCTCCAGCATAAATATTTTGACTCCACCACACATGGACTATCAGAGAGTATAGCGATTTCTTTCGCTGGATTCCAAGCCATTTTATTTTTGAATGTGTTCCTTAGCATATCAACATAGAATTATGGTCAGTAATATGGAGTAACTTATACAGTAATAAATAGCTTAAATAATCAACTAATAAAACATAAATATCATGGTTCATAATGTACATCAACACGAGAAAACACTCTAATCAAGAAGCTTTTCGTTCAAAAACAATGACTTCTAACATTAGAATTAATCCTTGTAATAATTATACATAACAAATAACAAATATCGCACACCCACAAGAAAAGAGACACAGACAAAAATTATAAAAACGATACAACTGTTAGGTGGATAGCTGCACATGGGTCACTTTTGAATTGGCGTGAACGTACTGTCACCATTGATGAAAAGTGGCATATTTTGGATCTGTGTCGAGCTTTAAAGCATCGGTGAGAGTAATTAAAAGGAAAAGTGGCACATTTCGAGTTACGCCAGTTTTTTTCTTGTTTAGTGAAGGATTTTATGCTGTTCTTGAGTCATATTTTCACCTTATGAAAAAATTGTTAAATCAATTGAACAAATATGTTTTTCGTAATGTGAAATTAATATAGGCCCTAATGATGACCTTACAATAGGTTGGTTTGATCTAGAGTGTTCGTGAATTATTTTAGTTTCATTTCTTTTATTTTAATAACATTGTTAATTATAATACTGTTTTTTCAATTTTTTTTAACAATGTTGCCTTTTAATTTTTACATTAATTTATAGTTTCAACGATTTTTTTATGTTTTAGTTACATTATTTTTAATAATCAATAAAACCTTTATTTAAATAATTAATTTTGTATTTTAAATAACTAATTAGCCCTGACTCCAGAAGGAAACCACATTTGGGCCAAAAATAATCTAAGTAAAACTTACTACATGGATATTTATGCTCGTTTGTTGTGTTTGTATGTTGTCTGTAAACATCACAAAAAATAATACTGTTAGAGTTATACATTGACCAACATTATCGTTAGAGTACACAAACGAATTTAAATTACTGAGAAACAATATAAGCAAGAAATGTGCCACAACTCAAAAAGGGGTGGTTTTTTAGAGGTAGTACATTTTTAAAGTTTTGCGTTTTCGCTTAATTCTTGGAGAAATGAAAGACAATATTGATGGATCATGACAGTTTTTATTGCCAACAACCGTAATGGCGAGTACTTAATACATAAGTATAAAAAGTAAACTTCCATTTGTTTCTCCAGTAAAATTATCTTTTGTTGAGTTGTGTCACATTTCTTGTGGGTGTGCGATATGAACAATAATACAAATCACATTGACAGGTGGGAAATTCTATCGTTGGGGACACCTCAACGGGTCAAAACTTGCCTGATGTCTGTTAATTTCTCGAGCTGGTTGAGAAACTTTGTTACCATGATTTTTTTTTAAATTTAGGATAAATTAAAGAATTTCAAAAATTGTAACACTATATTCAGGCAAATTCTTTACAATAGTTCTTTCTCAGGAACCCACCAATCCGATGGGAAAACCAAGCGAATCATTGCTCAGTGGAAGTTAATATGATATTGCTGTCTTGGGGGAATTCTATATTTGTCGTCCGTCCTCTATCAGAAGATATAAAGTCAAGTTTAATCATTTTAATCTGCACCGCGATGACGTACTTTTTATTTATTCCAAATATACGAGAAAAGGCTACTCAAGCGTACAGTACAAACCCATTATAATAATTATAGTGAACATGAATTTAAATACACTGCCGCAACTGTTTCAACAAATTTTTACATAGTAACGAAGGTAGGGTAATAACTAAACCGTTTGAATACAAACCGCCCATTAATATATGCTAGTTAGTTTGTAAGTTTATTTAGCAACTTACAGTAGGGATTGTGAGTAGTTAGTTGGGATAGATAGTAATAGGTCGACGATTAATACTTTAAAAGATCAAATTTTTGTCCGAGACAATACAGACATTTTGTGGGATTCAGGATTCATGCACTAAACAACGAACTAAACTATGGTCTCGCACTGTGAACACCTGCATCTTACAGGAAGGAGCTTATAGACGTAAAAGTAAACCCCGAATGAACCTAACGTTTCTGAAAGCTTGCTTAAGCATTCTGTAAATAGGCCGATAAAAACACAAATCAGAAGAGGGACGGGATCGTTACAGGATTGAAAAACGCATTAAGCCCAATCGAAGGTCATAAAAATCATTAGCGTTCTCCCTTTGCATAGTTGATTTCCATTGAACATAATATTTAAAATGTATTCGTTTTTTGTTTTTGCTCTTTTATTGAAGGAAGTTTTTCTTGATATGAAGCGAAAAAACAGCCTTTTGTACATGTAGAATGTGGCTTTAACTCATATGCATATTATATAAAAATTCAACTACTTATTTTTTTTGTTTCAGGCAGTTTGTGAACGTAGCATGAGAGACGAGAGTGGATGCAAATCAAAACCGATTTCATCTGTAAAAAACGTCAGGGCCAAACCAGGGAACTGGGCATAAAAGGTCATCGGACCAATAAACCAAAAATATCAAACTTTTTAAGATGTCGCCAAACTTATTTTCTTATGCACTCGTTGATGACGTAAATCCGTGTAAATGGGCCTTGTAAATAAATATATTGTAAATCTATGTAAATACCTTTTTTTAATAAATATATTGTAAATCTGAAAAACTACAATACCAAGAAATCTCCAGAAGAAAGAAGGAAGAAATAAGATTACTTCTTATCCTTTTATGCAATTTCTAATTAATGTGATACCGAGCGAGTAGAAGATGAAATCGCAAAGAAATTTTTCATTCATTTTGCATGGGGAAGTTGATATTTTCTCTCCAGTCTAAAAAGGCCCGAAATACAAATTTTTGGAAAAATCAAAAAATAATGAATCCTTTCATCTGAAAAATATTCCCTTTCCTTATTTTGACAAACTAACAAAATACAAATACTAAACATGGAAAAAACAAACGCAACTTTCTAGAAATGGTTTACATTAAGAGGCACAGCATTAATTAAAGAACAGATACATGCAAACTCAGCCGTAGCTAACATCATAAAGCAAATAAATATTAAACCTTAATTTTATTTTACCCTTTCCTTCGTTATCGTCCTTAATAATTAACTTCCTTTCCAATATTGTATGCCGAAACACAAATCCAATCCAGAAAATCCCCATTCTTGACTCTCTTTGAGTTAAATAAAACCGCCTATGATCAAAGAAATTTTCCCAGATTTCCAGCGTCCCCCACCCTGTCACAATCATATAAAAACATCAGAATACAAATTCACGTTTCACAACACTCACACAACACCAAAAGGACATCACAAGAATAGCATAACACTTTATGTGAGTATGCTGAGATCAACATTTACATCTTAGATTATATTTTTTCCAATCAATAAATGTTTTGTAATTTATCCAGGCCCTGAAGATGGCCCGAATAAAGGTCGAAACGTCGGCGAAAAAATGAAAAAAGGTTTTTTTTAAACTCCTCAATCATGAGCGCTCCGCATGACTTCAGCAAATAATTTTTGTTGTTGAATGTCTTGTATTGTTTTATACCATTACTGGGTGAATATATGCTCCCTGGTTTAGGCTTCTTGCAATCTTCAGTGAAAGAGTGTATTCCAGCGAGAATAGACGACCCAACAAAGTGATCAGTGTCGATCAGCTGTATCGACTGTATATGTTTTCTTAAATTCCATGTAAATTTTTTATATCGTTCAAATGGAAAGGGCAAGAAGAATGGAATTTGAAACTATTTCTAAAGGGGCATCGGTGGCCGCAACGGTTAAGACGTTGACACGACTCTCATCACTGTAAGGTAAAGGCTACGTACGTTCGAATCCATTGGCCCTACATTCAAGCTTACTTATATATGTGCTTTTAAAAACCCCGGCACCCCGAGGGTTCATATTAACCTCGTATTTGAAATACCTTCGTAAAAAAATTTTATCCTCCTTACCGAGGTCCTTTTAATCTACTCAAAAATGAATAGGGATATTCGTAATTTATTCTTATTCTATTGATTTTAATATATTCTTGTTAGTTGTCTAAAGGAAAATAGAAAATACGAACCAAAAAGAAACAAATCATTTTTAATAAAGGATTTACTTAAGAAGGGGGACCGCGGTAGCCGAATGGTTAGCGTGAGACTCTCGGCTCATAGACGCCGCGGTCGTGGGTTCGATTCCCACCGTCGCCTCTGGCCCTTTTTTCACGATACCCCCCCCCCATATGAACACACAAACAAGAATTCGTCACCATTGTTAATATGCATAGATCATAAGGGAAAAGAAAAAAATACTTAAGAATATTAAACACGAAGATTACTCTTTTGTAAACAGACAAATTTCTCTTAATTTTAATCCAGTCGTACTCTCTTTATCCAAGAAAAGACATCATCTTGAACTAAAAGTTCCCAATATTATTATGAGAATGAGTCATTAAGGACACCGGCAAGTGGATATCGCAGGTGCAGTTGGCGGTTCTCAGGTCTCCTGGGCATTAGCCCGATTCCGAGAGACTGGAAGAGCTAATACGAGGCCTGGTAGTGGATCTCAGTGCATTACGACGCTAAGGGAGGACAGAAATATTGTCTTTGTTGCAAGATTCCATAGTGCCCGCCAGATCCTAAATGAAGTACAAGATGTTTTGGAAAGGCCTTTATCAACACAAACGATTCGTAATGTCCCTTTGACACAAGCTGCAGCAACTCCGTAGAATATGATGCAGCGAGCGCCTACAAGAGAACACCAATTGGAATGCTTTTATGTTTACTGATGAGTCGCGTTTCTGTCTGTATACTGATAGCAGGGGCCAAAGAGTTTATAAAGAAATGGGGTTGCGTATAATGCTCCAGTTCGTGCTTCCTTCGGTGCAGTTTGGAGGCGGCTGGGATTTACATTGGAGGACGAACTGGACTCTATTGTTGAAGGCAACCGCCATCCGTTATGTCCAAGAAATTGTCAAGGAATAAAATCCTCATACCAGGAATCTCATTGGCAGGGATTTTCGATTTCTGGATGACAATGCTCCTCATAGAGGCAGAGTTGTTGTTTATCAATGTTTACAAAATCTGGGAATTTCCCACCTGCCCCTACCCAGGGGAAAGAAAATCCCATTGAGCACATGTGAGTGATTGAGCGATCACATTTTCGCTCACCATCGCCAGACAGTTGACCTGTAACAACTGAGCGCAGCGTTGCGACATCTATGGAGTGAAATTCTTTATGAAATTAGCGGCAACCTTTTTAACGGTTTGCCTAACAAGTGCACAGACGTTTTAACTAACAAAGGACATTAAACACGGTATTAATTGTTTAAAAAAATAATTGTGTCCAATTAATTAAGGTTTTAAGTTGAGATAAAAAAAGTCAGCGGGATTCGAACTCACGATCTTCGGCTAGATACGCCGCTGAACTTCCACTTGAGCTATCATGACCTGAGCTATTGTGTCCAATAAACAAAATTATAGAATTAAAACCTTTTATTTTGTTATTTTTCAAAATCCCTCAATTAAATTTTCCTTCAGTAAAAAACATAATAATTTCTAATAAATTTTAATGCAATTCATAATAAAAAATAAAATAAAAATGCTAGGGAAAGTAAATGCTACAAAATTGGCAATATCCCTATTCATTTTTTAGTAGTTTAGAAGGTTGTCACTAGCCTCGCGACAATTGCGCACATAAATCTATCGGGTTCATTTCAGCATTCGAAAAGGTTGACTTCCGTTGATCATTGATGGATGTCTCACACTCACGCTTAACTCGTACACCACTGTTTTTCATGTAGCATATCTATCTGCTTATTGCATTAACTGATACAGTTGTAGATTAATAAAATTTAAATATTATAAAGTCGGAATGTATAGGATATATTTGATGTAGTAGGTGATGACGGTGCAGTATCGATGATCAACTACTGCGTTCTAGAAGAATCTACACATTATTATACATAAGATTAGGATGAAGATACGAAGGGTGTAAAAAAACGTAAAACAATTGCATTCTTGTAGTATTATCCATCGTGAAAATTGTAATGTGAATAAACGAAGCTTTCGTTCCCACGTTTTGTTTGTTTTTTAATTACTTTAAATAATGTTGATATTGTGTTTTGCCGATGATGATATATTTTTGCAAAAATGTTCTGTTTTCTGGATTTTCTTGTAACCCATTTCATACCAACAGCGCGCATCGTCAAAATGTGGGTAAAAGTGGGGGGAAACGATCATTTGTTGTTTGTAACGTCTTTCGACCGGCCGCAGAAGGCGTTCATTGAATATACACAATTAGGCCGTTATCGGGAAGGGGATCGATTGAGCGATCCGTAGAAGCTTCACGCATGAGCCATTCATTTAGGGAGAATCGAAACGGAAAGGACCATTAAAAGTCGCGCAACACTAAGTCCACGGAGGTATTGGTCGCCCAGGCCTGCAGTCTACCGTCGACGAACTATGACAGATGGGGAGTAGCCCAGGGATTTTGGAAGGCAGGTGCCGACGAGTAAGGAGCCGGAAGTAAAGCGGGCTAATTATTCTTTACAGTAAACGTTATAATTGTTTTATGTTTGGTAGAGTGAAATATTTTATTTCAAAGTTTTAACTGTATAAATAAGGAATACTTAAAAAATTTAAAAATGGATGAATATGTGTAAATACGTAGGATCTACATTTGTACAAAGTTTAACAGGAAAATAGTTAAAACATTTAGAAAAGAGTCCTTGTTGGCATTTCCATTACATATGGAGTACACCTCTCTATATGCTTGTGAGCCAAGGAAGTATTTTAGAGAGAGTATTTCTCCCCAGTCCTCATTCATTTATAATCATAAATAATTGTGATCGACTGTGTCAAACTGTAATTTGAAGCCAACAAGATCGGTAATAATAACAAGATTAGTAATATAAAGTCGTAAGGCAGTATATCTTATTACAAAAGATTAAGAATAATATAATAACGTTATTAATACAACGCAGTGTATGAATTATTAATACAATGTTTTTTCAATTTACTGGGGAGGTTGATTCAAATAAAACCGCACTTAGTTTTATTTTGCTTTCGATGATATCATGTTTGATTGATTAATGGAAATTTTCCATTTGTATTTTTAATTTGATTAGTTAAAATTTAAAAGAATATGTTTATTTCAATTTATCCCCGTAATTATTTGTACAATTCCCGATAAATTAGTCGGAGTCGTCACGGTATAATTAGAAAGTAGACGCATATGTCGGTGAGCCCTGACCATTGAAGCGATCAAAACACAAATAATTGGCTTGTCAGTGGCTTCCTTTCTATTGTTTCAAATTACAATCAACCCTGATAAAGTCGGCCGGAAGTTCTTATCGGATTCAAATTGAACCGGATGTGACTGCCCCCGCACTCCTTTCGGTCTTACATTGATTACATGTGAGTTGGAATATTTCTTACGGGTCTCGGGAAATCGATGAAGACGTTAATAACTATAAGCCGAAAAAAGGAAAACTATGTGTTCGATCACCGGAAGGAACCGAGGGCCAATTTAAGGATTGCCTTACACGCGTGAAGAAAGCATCATCAGTAATGAAGCGAAAAGTCTATTAATTTCCGGAAAGAT